AGGAGTGCCCAAAAAGTTTGCCTGCTGTGCTGCGGTGTTGGGAGGGACAGGGGCACATGCGGCATTTGTTTTTGCAGTGGCAAGCAAAAGTTCATTTTGGGTTCTTTTTGGCAGGATTCTTGCAATGAAGCACTTCACCAAAATGGAGCAAAGGCTGCAAAGCCAAAGGTGTTAAAGACCAGGTCAAACAGTCAGTGCGCCATTTTCAAATCAAAGCCCCATGGTCGTTAATGTCAACTGCACTTTGTGTGTTTGGAATCTATATGAGGTTGACTATACCGTAGGAAAAGCAGCAGGCGTGTGAAAACAATGTCTAGACAATGCTTTAGAACTAGTCCATGAACAAATGGTTCACTGAAACAACTCTACAATATTCTGTGAACATGTATCAGGACATAAAACGGAGTTTAAGACAAATCGATGTAAACTATTCGCCAACTAAAAATATAGCAACCATAATTTGCAAGCAACTTTCAACAGTCATCAAACAAGCTCTAAAACAAAGATTGTGAACATTGTTGATGTCTATTTAGAACAAAAACAAGTTAAAACACTTTCTGAATTTTGCTTAATATTCGAACAAATTTAAAACAATGTGATGACAAAAAACATACAATATAATATGTACAAAAAAGAACTTGTCAATATTCAAAAACAATTCAACACATGTTCATGAATTTATTGTTGTTATATATGTTGTAAAACTATTTGATGCACATTTAGAACCAATGCTATGTTTTCAAAACAGTTTTGTAACCTCCACTTGGGTTCCCAAAGCCTTTCAAAAAAACCACCCAAGCCTTGGGCATCTGTGCAGTGGCCTCTGTACCAGGAGCTGCAGAAGAACAACCACGTGGTAGATCTAATCGTGTAAGCCACTGTCCTGGATACAATGCAACAAAAGCCAAATTGCTGGATTCTGCGAAGTGCTCTCTTGTAGCTTCTTTTGACCATGCTCTTCTTTGTTTTCCTGGGGAGAAGCAATCGAGGGCATCTCCCCCACCATTTGCTTCAGTCCATGTGGATTCGCAGGAAACATATAGTCATCCTGAAGCCATGTGAGAGTTCCTGCTCCCGCTGCCATGGCTGTGCGCCACCCTCGCTACAACACCGCCAGGTGTGTGAAGCCAAGCCAACAATGACCAGAAAAATCTCACGTGTGTCCATGGATTTGGGACCGTGGTTAGTGGAAAGCAAAGAGGGTCAGGGGAAGGTGAGCGACATTCGTGGATCGCGCTTGAACAAACGCTTATATATGAGTTGTGTGTGGTGGTGTGTTGGTGCGCGTCTGAATGTTGATCTGACAGTGAGTTGAGAGAGTTGGTGTATGTAAGTGTGGTGTGGAGGAGGAGTGGCGGGAGGAGAGGACAAGGAGGAGAAGCGGGAAGACCTGAGAAAAAAAGAACTCTTCAATAGCATCTGGGAAACTATGAATACTAAACATATTGTTACATCTATTTGATTTTTTCCGAACAAATATGCCGTTTCAATCCATTCATTTTTCGTTTGAGTAATTTCTGCCCAAAGATCTTTCGTGCCTCCTCGGGTGACGAAAGACATGATGACATTTTGATGATTTGTTTGATTCCATCAATTTCATTGACACAGCTATATATATATATATACTGTATATATGTGTGTGCACTCACCTTGAAGGTGCTGGATATGGCAATGTTGGTGGAAATAGCAATTGCTGGAATTCGCTCTGGAGTTGCTTGTGGCTCAGAACCGACAAGAACCACTGGTCGCAAACTCTGGGTGGCCCGTGTGTGTATAGTTGCTGACCGTTGCTCTCTTGAGACCCTGCACCTGTCTTCTCTGGAGATTTGTGACTGGTAAGAATTAGTTTGAACCAAGTCCAAGGGATCTTGGGTTTCACCCCTGCTATAGAGAATAAACCTTGAGAAGTGATGTACTTTCTACTACCAGAACCACGTGGGCCCGTTGAAAAACCTCCCCAGTTTGCAAAAGGAATTGTTCATCAACTCTAGGCTTTAGATGACATTCACCACTGGTAGTACTCATGCATTACCTTCCCTGGAATAATCATAGAAGTGGAAAATGGGGTTCCAGGTGTTTGATGGTCCCAACGAGCACGAACGATCGTTCAGCGTCCCGGGCAGCGAGGGTTCAGCATGCCGAAACAAGTCTTGTTTGGAGTCGATCTTCCTTGTAGTTGAAGTGTTCCCAGACTTCTTGAGGTATTTGCCGTCCCTCTCTGCTGATCCTGGCAATGGTGAGATCATGGCAAAATGGTCACACTCGAAAGTTCCACCTTTAGCTTCCCGTCAAAACGAAAGGTTCAGCTTTTTTCATCCTTTCTACACTTCTTCCTTCTTGGACAAGCCCATCCCAAGAGGCTATCTACGAAGAGCATCCAATAATTGCTAAACCTGAAACCTCCAAAAACACTGTCCATCGGACACTTATTTGGTCGACAAATGGCGCACAAATCCCCCTTGAATGAGAAGCTCGCTGTGGATGTTCATTTCAAAACAAATAGGTGATAAATGTATAACCACCTAAAATTCACCATAAAATGTTAAACCGCTGGATTTATACAATGTCAAGACGCTACAAGTCAACTTCAGCATGGCGGAGCCTGCTCCTTATAAAGAATGTACTGACCCTCTGCGAAAACACTACTCCTGTCTCTCACTATTTATGTATCTTGGGCAACATGTATTCAAGAGATCTAAATCTTTGTCACCTCATGAAAACCTAACCCCGTGCCTTCGTGGTCAGGCTCTTGGTTTGTTTATTTACAGGTTCTTCGTTTGTTGCTTCCGTGAATGCTTCGACCCAGTCTTCAACATAGCGGCGCGCAGGCAAAACAGAAGCCTGACAAAAGAATCATGTGTTTTGCACATTGACAGAGTGAAAGCCTGTGCTGTTTATAAAATGTGTTGAACCGCAAAATCAGCAATCCATCGCTTGTGTCTGCTTCAGAAATGGGTGTTTTAATGTGTTTTACAAGATGTATTGACCCTGTGAAATATGATCCACTTCTTAAGGAACAACGCAATAATTGTGTTGACCTTCTGCTCCAAATCCAATGTTTTATGATGGCCCTCCAGTTTGGGCCTATAAGGTCTTTAATGGTCAGAAGACGTCTCTTTTTAGGGGACGAGATCGACATTTGATCGTGTCTGATTCTATAGGGATGCACACAAGTCACGCTCTTCGAGTTTGGACAAGCCGTCTGAATTTCAGGATATGTCGTGAAACTCGAAGTTCTCAGATCATCTTGTCGCGTCGCGCACAACGGAGCTGGAACATAGAAACCCAGCGGCGGTTGGAAGCGCCTGAAGCGACCAATGGATCCGTAGTCTTTGAGGATGCGAAAGCCACGGTAGGGACCGATGCCGGGCAAACTGGCCAAAAGCCGTCGGCAAAGAGCCCCGCGGACCACGGGTGAAGTGGATGGACCACGAATCCAATGAACGACTTGTCTGAGACTGGCATATTTACCATACCTTTTGGTGGTCGTGGTTGACCCTGGCGTCAATGAGGCGGTCCACTTACCTGAGAATCAGAAAGGCTTTCACATAGCATGTCCCAAACGCCACCTGTCGCTGTCATCTTCACCGTACCTTAGGGGTGATTGGATGACCTGGATCTTTCTGAGACTGGTGGATCTTCCATCTTCCATGGCTGGGGTGCTTGGATCGATTGGAGGAGTCCGCCTTTTGACAGACGGATCGGGTGAAGATCGCTGGTTGGTCCTCCCGTCCCCGTCCCGCTGTCTGGGAACTGTGAGGATCCAATCCGTTCTTTTCTGTACCCCAGGTCAACCACCGACGCAGAATGGAAATATGATGACATATGCCAGTCGCCAGTCCCATAAGTCGGGGGTTGAATTCTGATGTCTCACTGATGCGTTTTGTTGTGTTCCAAAAAGAACAAAGGATGCTCTCCTCCTATGCTGCGAGACAAAGGTTGATGGGTTTTCTACATTGCGTGACCCCTTCTACTACTGGGAGCCTTCTACTGGGAGGCGGTGGCTTTTGGACTCACTGATCACGGTACTCTCTCTCGCGGTGTTGTAACGCGTAGCGCAGTCCATCTGGCGCCTTGTGGCATAGTCGCCTCAAAGGTTCAAACGACAGAAAACTGCATGTGGTTTAAAGGAATGAATCTGAGTACCCTCCCTCCAACAATCAGTCTTGCACGGGGCCATGCTTCCACTTCCATGTTTCTTGGATAGAGGGTCATACCCGCGGCAAAGGGCACTGTCAATCCACTGGACGACAAAGCATCACATCAAATCAGCAACGAACGGCAAACAACAACCACCGGTCGAAGGTCGAAGGTCGTTGGACGTTGTTTCAACGAAGGTCGCATGCGGGTGACTAGTGATGTTGATACAGAGAGATGCTCGAAAGGGTCCGCTTGCTGGGAAATGGTACCCAAACACTCCATGTGTGGAATATAGGACTATATTGGCCCCAGGTTTCTTTGTTTCTTTTCTTATTTTTTCTTTTGCTTTTTCTTTCTTTATTTCTTTCTGTCTGTCTTTCTGTCTTTCTGTCTGTCCGTCTGTCTGTCTCTTCCTTTCCTTTGGTTTGGCCATGCAAAATGCCTACAAGCTGCAACCACACAGAATCGCGAACTCAACGAGCTGTCCTCAGAAGCGACGGCCAGTGGACTCCTAATCCTGGGGCATCCAAATGTGCCAAGAGAAGACCCAAAAGGTCTTCAAAAGAACGCAGAACTCTTCAAAAACACAAAATAATATGTATATATATATATACATACATGTAAAAATAGTACTATAATATATATATATATACATACACAGTGTATAATAATATATATATATATATAGACATACATACATTGCTCCCAATCAGATCAATTGACCAAATGGTCCAAGTCATCTCGAATCCATGCCTGGGTACCCAACTGCGCCCAGGTACGCATGGTTGCCCTCTCACTGTGTTCGGTCCATAGCGCCCCAACCCCAGCAAGGGCAGGAGCCCGACATGTTCTGATCGCTTTGGAGGGTCAATCCGTCTGATAGGATGCAGGCACGACATGGCAGATCTACAATTGAAGCGATCGTCAGAGCACATAAGAACGGTAGAAACTATACCATTCCACAAAGCGGGATTGATTTGTACCCAAGATCTTGAGTCTAATAGAATTGGATCGAAGAATTACACTCCGAACCCCTCTTTCGTGGCAACTTCCAACTCCGCCTGGTCGAAGCAATCGGCCAAACACCCTCGACTCTTCGCCCAGCCTTGGGTGAATTCCAAGGTCTCTCTCCTGGGCTTTTGGAGCAAAGTGTCCGTCATCGGTGGGAATCTTTAAGGATGGATGGGTGCTAGAAGCTACTGGTAGCAAGGACGCTACACACGGTGGAGGCCATCGCTACTAGTCGCTATTTGCTACTAGTGCATCGCTACTATACATTGGTGGGGACCGACAGGGTGCCCGACCTTCCCCAAAGGCCCATCCTAGTCAAGGCTCTCGGACCATTTAGGCGTGATCCATCGTTATACACACCGACGAACATATTGGGGTGGACAAAACACATCCTTTTCGAACATGGTGGTCTTCCCATGCGAAACACATCTGCAAAAACATCGGCAGTTTTGGGGGCGTAGCTGGGTAATGTGCTTGAACGTGTGGGTCCTCCAAATTCAAAACAAATTTATACGGCCAATACATGCTGTTTCCCTATACAATACAATATATATATATAAAGTAAACACATATCCCAATTACTTATCCTAATTATATAGATATACTCATGTTTCAAGCAAACATTAAGGCAACATTTGCAGAGCAGTTTGTACCACAATCCAGAACATCATGCCTATGCATTCTCCTCAGACCTCCTGAGACGGACGCCTTCCGCGTTTGTGCAACATGGGATGCAACATCACTTGATATCTTCTTGCTCCCAAACACGGCCTGTCTGAGACTGCATGCCGCCTGCTGTACAACCCGTCTGGCTAACCACCCCAATGTATATGTAAACCAGCACCCTCCAACAGGTCACCAATTGAGACCTGTTAGGCCCAACAACCATCCAGAGGAGACCTGTTGGAGGGTGCTGGAATATGATGAAATATACCATTTGGACTAGCTCAAAAGGACCAGACCGCGACTGAGATGATCGAGACGAGGGGCAGTTCCAAGCAAATTCCAAAATCCCAAAACACAAAACCAGAACTTCAATGATTCCATCCACTCAAATGTTGGTTCACCTCTCGATGAATTCTTGATTCATCCAACCTTCAGAAACTCGTAAAATGTGTTTACCTCATAACAACCAAGCGCCCCAAACAGCCCCCCCTTCGCTGACCCAAGTGCCCCACGTGTCCAAGGGGCAACTCTTCAAGTTCGATCCAGTAGGGATGGACTCTTCTCCTCTGCCTCTCCACCTCTTTCGCTGCCTCCTGCCAAAAGTCTGGAGCATTTCTAAGCGTTCCGTTCTTGGAAAGGAGCTGCATTCCGTAGGAGTGATCCATCCGCCAAAAGTTGAAGGGCGTTTTGGCTGAACTTATAGGTTCACTTTCACACTCCGTCGACCGAAGACATCGAATGACACTCTGTCGAAGACATCAAAGATCATCCAACTGGAGAGGGATCAGTCTGGACGGCCTTTCAATCCGAAACGCATGCCGTCAGGAGTGACCGTTGATAGTATGATGTTGGATCAAAAGCACAGAAAGGAAGCGTTGGAACACCTCCAACCACCACCACCTGCAACCATTCTGCCCATGTCTGGGGCCCGATAGCCGTGGACCAAACCAAGCGCCTCGGACCGCACCTCAGGTCTCCCAATGAAACATCGAGCCCAAAGCTTCATGGATCAAGTGACTGATATCTGCGGCGGTTTTCTGGTTGGTTTTGGAGTGATTGGTGACAGATACTGTCAGATACCAACAAGCCAGACCACAAGGAGGCACACAACCACAAGACCAACACATCCGTCCTCTATTCATCCCACCCCGACCCACTGAGCCAAAAAAACTAATGAGTCAACCCCACAAGGACAACATCTGGCGCCCTTGTTTTTCCGGGGCCTGTCTACCTAAGGGTGGCAATCCAACAACTTTACAAAAAACCATCCAAGACAACTTCAATAAGCACACCTGCAGCAATACATTGGCGTGCTCCAAGAATGCATTCGATTCCATTCATGGCCCCATATCTGAAATGATATGAACCCTAACAATCCGTTGGGTTCTCCATACCAGGGGTCGGACCCCACACCTTCGCAGGGGTCCAGGCCCCTTCACCAAACCCTATAGTGATGCTTCGGGCCCGGATTCTTAGGGCTCTGGGGACCTGGACAACCCGAGAAAATCGGTTCCACCGAGCGCTCCGAGCGTTCAGCCGGTGCTTGTAGCTCCGCGCCGCTGGCGGAGGAACTCCTCGTGATTCCTTTCCTTCAAGTGATCGATGTAACCTGAGCCGTTGAAAGAGAACAAAACGTCTTGCTTCTCTAAAAAGAGACTCTCAATCAAGTGATCTCAATAAACCTGAACCGTTCGCCGTTCACTCTACTTTTAGCTGAATCTGTTAAATCAGGACTGGCTTATAAAGCTCTACTGCATACCTCCGATGCTTCAGCATGTAGTTCTTCTTTCCCGAGTCACTGATCAACCTGGGTGCACCATAGATCAGCGCATCCAAATCTTCCGAAGCCTCAATCGGTGACCGCAGCTCTCCCCCCGAAAGCGTCACGTCGGGAGTAAAGACTCCCACGATTTGGGTGTTCCGTAAAATGGGTGGTGGTGGTGGTGCTCCTTTTTGACGTGCCATGGAACATGCGAAATCGACAAATGGAGCACCACCTAGGCTGTTTGGTATTCGGATTCGGGGCCATTTTCCCATCCATGGTTTCAGGGAGTGTACCATGCACAGGTCAGTGCACACCTCATTTTTGGAGCTGATCATACAAGAACGCAAGCAAACAATAAGGTCAAGGACTCGTAAAGGACCAGGTTTGGGGTCAGGCGGAACCTGGGTCAGACTGAAGGCTCCTTGGAGAAGACTTCGAGCTAAAGGACTCGTCGCGTTCTTCGTTGGCATCTGCCCGTCCGGTCCGCCGAAGGACGCCAGACTCTTGTGCTGGAACCAGGAACCGGGCCCAAAAGGACACCAGCTTTTTTCGGCGATTTGAAGCGGATTGTAGAGGAAATTCATGGAACATCCACATGATCTGAAGCAAATCCAAAGGGGGAACCTTGAGGCTCTTCACACGCCTCTTCGCACAAAAGTTTGCCTCCTTCTACGTCACTGAGGCTGTCTGTCAAAAAGAATGCCTCACTGAGGCTGGTATGTGTCACTTTCAAAAGGATTCAACTCCTGAAACCAAAGAACATCTGAACACCCTCTTCTGACTGGTGCATAGTAGAGAATCAAAGAATGACCCCTAGAGCTATGTACTATAAATATCTGATCGGATCCATTCCCTCATTCCTTACGTAGTCGCACCAGTCTTTTGACGGCCCACAAACACATGAGTTATCAATCTTTCCTATTCTTTCCTCAATCTTTTTGGCAAGCACTGAAGCAACTTGGATTTCCCATGATTCATCTAAACCTTTAAGATCCTTTAACTATCCCCTGCAATCTGCTTTGTACACGGCTTTCACCGGCCGGTTGCCAATCCACGGAGAGATGGCAACGAACAAATTGATCCTGTACTTGTTTAGCCACTGTCTTCCTTTCAAGGGTTTGAGACCACCAAACCAGGTCCGCCATTTGCTGAATGGTCGATCGGAACGCGGGATCTGATCGAACACGTCCGCAAAAAAAATGGGGACGCCATGGGTCCGACCCAACCCCAAGGCTGTAGCACACCTCTCCAGGTTTCAGCAGCTTCCCAAACAAACACTCCATGCATGGGAATATAGGACATAATATGAGTATTCTTAAATATATTCCAGGACCTTCAAAAGTGACCTCTTTCTTGCCTATTTGACCCAAGGTCAACCACCCCGGTGTATGTAAAATATGCCAGTCTCAAACAGGTTGTGTTCGGCTTAAGAAAACATCCCATGGCTCCAATAAAAGCTGAGGCACGACAAAGGATCCGGAACCACAGCGCTTGGCGGCTTCTTCTTCCGCGTCACCACGGCTCGCCACACAAACCTTCCAGTCCTCCTGTGAAACGTGTGCAGTGCGACTGGCAATTAAGGAATGAAGGAAAAGATTCCTAAGGATTCCATTGAATTTGTAAGGGTTTGTAAGGTATCTATTGCGGTGAAGGGTCCTGTCATGTCCTGTCCATCCTATCAGGGTGGAGAGCGGCCAATCGCACCAGCCAGCAAACGTGCCACGGAACGTGTCACGGAACATGCCACAGATGGCCGAAGCACTGAACCACCAGTTTTCAGAAGATTTCAATGCTTCAGCATGGGCGGCAAGACGGAAGGGGGTGCAACGGTGGAATCTGGATAAATGTTCAAGACAATCGGACCATCGGATGGTCTTGACCCTCCAGATTTTTTTTTTGGGGAGCTATGAATCAAGATTTCACAATACTACATTGGGATGCTTTTCCGATGAGCTGAGGTCTCTCCGTCGGTCAAAGTCTGGCGCTCTTTGGAAAACCAGCGCACTGCGGGTGCTGCGTGAGGCTCGGTGGGATGTGAAGGCGAGACATTCCGCACGTTAAAATGGCACTGCTTTGGTCAGGATTTGGGATCGAACACCTGGGTCCTCTGCTAGGCACCTGGGTCTCTACGTATGACTCCTTTCGTTGGGTGTTTCACCAGACTCTGCTTACTTGCCCTCGAAGCATCACCACTTTCTCAAACGGTAGAACTTGATTTTTGTTGGAAGCCGATGGATCCACTGCCACCCTCTGAGAGTAGCACAACATTTGTCTATATATATATATATACGTGCGCCTCTGATGAGTGAGGATTTGTCCCTTAACTCCTTAGTCATTCGAGGGTAGTAGAGGTAAAATGACTGGGAAGGCCTAAGGTTCGACCTGCGAAGGCCTAGGGAAACCATGAAGATTCACCGGTTGAGATCCAACTGGCCAGACGTTCGCTGCTCCTTCTCCAACTCGTCGTATAACCTCATGAGTCACGAGTCACGGACCCTGTTGGTGACCATTGGTCACGATTCTTCCAAACCTCTAACATCATCTTTACCTGGCATGAACATCAAGTCTGAACTTTTCGTCACCCTCTGTAAGTACAACTGCTCTTCTCCCACTACAGGTAGTTGCGTCAGTCTAGTAATTAGGTGCAATTATCCAACAAAACGTGGTCCCCCCTTCCATCTCCGCCTAGCCACTTCTGCAGCAAACCCGCTCCGATCCGTATGCTCTTGCGTGCCTCAACAGAGAGGACGGAGGTGTGTTTTTGCGCAATCCGAAAGGAGCTGAGCGGACCTATGGCTAAGTTGGTACAGTATACAATTGGTCAGTTTACGTCAACTTGAGAGAGGAGGGGGTGAGCGAAAGGTAGCATGCAATCACAAGTAACTCAGGTAGCTCAAGCTACCTTTCGTGATTAGAGTATTTTACTATAACACCATCTGGTGGACTCCCAAAAAGTGCTACACCATGCTACACCTTGCTACACCTGCGGCAAATCCGGAGCTGCTTCGTAGCACGAAGCAAAAGTCGCGGAGCACCCTGTGGAAGAAAAGGGGTGAATGTGGAAGAACAAATGAGCGAACTTGTGTTGTTTTCATGACATACTTGTGCTATCTTGTGCTGGCACTGCCTGTTGGAATACTTGTCTCAAACATAAATCACAAAGGCAAAGAAAGCGGCCGAGGCGGCAAGGCACGCACACACCGACTCAGTTGACTCCTTCGACTCACCGACTCGCTTCGACGATGCAAAACTTGGTCGTTCCATGTCGCGTTTTGACAGTCCTAAGACCTGCCTGGCGCATCGTCCTAAGATTGAAATGGTTGAGATGAATGGTTGGCGCTTTCAAAAGCTACAAGAGTTACCAACTCTTGTAGCATGAGCCAAAAGATGAGACCTTCTAATTGAATTCAAGCGGGAGATGTTTAGTAAACCTGAAAAAGTAAGAGGTGGACTTGTCAGTTTGAGACTGTCGGTAAGTGTAGTATATAGTGGCCCTCCACCACCTCCCTGTTGGCTCTAACAGCCATGATCACAGGTCCCAGGCCCTCCACCTCCATAAAGAGTATGGATGGGACGCCAGATCTCTGCAACTGCAGATTCCCGTGGAACAATTCCACACCACCGGTGAAATTCCGAGTCCAAAGTCGTGAACGGGCATTGAGCCATACTGTTGGTGATCCAAGTATCAAACACCAAACAAGGAACTGCTAGTGTTGTCCCTGTTCCATGACGATGTTCCTTCCATACTGATCCACGAGTTCTGGTGCGGAAAACGCTGCACTGTCAGGAGCACTGCAGATTTTGCCATCTCTGATAACTTCCGTCGTGTTCTGGGCTTGGGCAATTCCAGTGGCATGTGGTAGCGGCATCTGAAGGTGCCACGAAGACCCCAGCGAAACATGATGCTGACCATGCGGTCTTTAGGGAAAACCAATGCCTAAAAAATAGAGCCTCAAGTTGAGCCACTGCAGTAGTTTCAGAGTAGATGCCACAAACCCAAAATGTCTTCTATATAACTTGTGGATTGTGCCATTACTCTGAAACCAACTGTAGTGGGTGCCAGGACGAACGAACCTTTTGGATCCGTAGACTGTAGACGCCCCAATCCACTGCGGACCCGCCCGGACCGCGGAGGGTTTCACTCTGCGAGACACGTAGTGTTCCGCCAACTTGAAGCTGTTCCGCTTCTGTCCTGCCGCATCCTCCAACTGGCCACGAGACCTGAGGGGGGGCACACTGTGTTCACAGATCTGGTGAACCGGCGTGAAACGGGATCCTGGAGAACCACCGAGTCGACAGCAACTAGAACCACCGAGTCAACAACACGATATCATATCTACATGTTTTGGTATAGTTTCACGCGTGGTGGGGGGAAGGAATAATACTCTGGAAACCCACCTGAGGGAATCTGCTGGAGAAGATTGTCCACAATAAATACCCGAGAAGGGGGAGTGGCTGGGCCTGAAGATCTTAGCTTGATGAATTGGATTCCTGGTCCTTGGATTTGAGAGTGGTTCCATAGTTGCAGCGTTTTCCAAGAAAATTCATGTAATTCAGGTTCTTTCAAGTGACCTCTTCATTCCATGGTTTGAGGTCACCAATCGGGGGCCCAATATCCTAGACATGAACCACGAGGCTGGCATATGGACCGGTGAATGGAAAGTCATTAGATGGCACAATCCCCAAGTTTGGTGGTTTATAGACCTAATTTAAGGGTTTGTGCCATCTAGTCTGAAACCACTGTTTAGAAACCAGGCATCTAGAAAACAGTCCCATCGGGTTAGGTCTGGATCCACCAATGCCGAGACCTCGATCCGACGTCGTGGGACGATGCAGCCGAGACCGAACAATGGCGGGGTCCAGCGACCCGATGAAACGGAACCAGACCGACGTGGACACCAGCGACACCGACGGTGGTACCGAAGGGACCGAGTGTCCACGCAGACGCCGGTCACGCTGCGACGCGACGACGATCACCACGGAATGCTGCAAGCTGCAAGCACAGCGATGGTTAGACGTTTGTTAGACGTCTGAGGACACAGAAAAACATAGCTTGTTGCATTCATGAGAATAAGCACGCATACTACATGCTGAATCCCCACATGAATCCCAAAAACCTTGGATGTTCAAGAGCCCCTCATAGCCCCTCAAATAAGAGTCATACACCTTGGAGCAAAACCACACTGGTTGAAATACCAGAGGCCCATCCTGCTCAGTATCCTTGGAGCACTCAACACCTCCCAAAACAGCAAACGTAAGAAACACATAGAAAAAACACAACTGCTATCCCTGCTATCCAGCTCTTCATATCCTCTCCAAGATCATTCACTTTTTGCGCCTTTTTGCACAACAATGCACAAAACATCTCCTCACCTCTCGGACCAAAAGCACCAAACCGCTGTGCCGGCTATGCCCCTGTTGTCCACTGTTTGTCCCTGACGACCTCGTGCGTGCGTCACGAACGTGCGTCACTGACGACCGAGGCGCTCAGCCAGTTGGGTGATCAGGGACTTGAGCTGTCGGTGCTCCTCTTGGCTTTGCTTGCTCCTGGACACCGAGCCGGTCCCGGTACCGCCATCCTCTTTCTTGACGTCAATGAGAAGAAAAACGTCACGTGTCAAGGTTTGCTTTTTTGGATGTGGGAAACAGAGAATGGCCAAGTAGTCTTCTATTGAACCGAACATTCATGGTTTAATGTGCGTTCTATTTGTCTGCCAGCTTCAGACTTGGCATACCCCATGAGTTGACCGATCGCTGTATATCTGCATGGCTGAGCAAACATGTTCTCGATCCTCTATCATCCGAAGACATCCAAAAGCCAACAGCCTACTAGTCTACATTACCAATACAACGACTCATGGATTCCCAACGACTCTTACTTGAGCGCAGCTGCATGAGGCACTTCGCTTTGCGAACCTTTCTGGCAAATGTTTAATCAGAACATGTCAGAACCGTTTTTTGGTTGCCAGAGGGAAGCAAATTAAACACAGCGAGCTGGACAGATGCTGCAAGTCTTCTTTCACCAGGTCGGGAGAGAGAAAGGGTAGCTTCTGTGCCAATCCCGCCGTTACCCTGCCACTCCGACACCAGGGTGAAGGGCCAGGGCGCTGGGGTCCTGGAGGTTACTGCAGGTTGTGTGTTGGCCCTGTTTCACCCCAGATTTCAGGGATTCTTGAGGATGACAGGACTGCCCAAGCGGAGCTAGACGATCGGTGGGAGATGCGTGCCATAACACGCCAAATTGAACTCACAAAGCCCATTAACGGATGTGAATGTGAATTAAACTAGGGAGACCTCCCAGGCAACGATCCCGTGGAAGAAGCGCAGTTATATAAACTAGGTCGCCCAACCCATTGGGCCTGGGAGTCTCCCTATTCAACTCATACCCAGTCTGACTGCCCAGCTTGTGGGCGCCGGGAGCCTTCTCTCCGTGCCCAGTCCGCGCTTTTCTCTCACATGATCGCAGACTCAGCGACACAGCCGGAGGTGAAATTCCAGAGATGTGATGGGCAGCCATGGGCCGCCACGATCTTCGCCACAATCAAACTCACCTGGTGGGTTGAAGGCAACTGATGAGTGGACAAGCGGTGCCGACCTTTCCTAGAAGTTGCCTGAACTTTTTGGTAGAGTTTTCTTGCCCTAACAAAAAGTCATCCTCAAGTAAAAGGAACTTGATAGTGACAAACCTGATACACCCCTGACAAACCAGTATTTCTTGCACTGCCCCATCTACCATTGGCCAGATTCTTCCACTGCTCTCCCTAGCGCTTCTTTCTCCAAGTGACGAGGAGCAACCCCAAGAGGGGCAGCAGCAGCGCCAGGAACCCCGAGGGCTTCGCGAAGCGGGGGTCCTCTGGATGGTGCTGCAGCACCTGAAGACACGTCGGGCGTGCGAGACCGGGGTGTCGGATCGGACTGAGGGAGAGGGGAGGACCCCGGTGCCTCGGTGCATGAAGTCAGCAACAAGGTGTCAACATCATCGAATGCTGTGAACCTGTGTTGCTGGAGAACTGGTCCATCAACGGAGAACAAGTCTGGCTTTCATTCGCTCCTTCCATTTTGGAACTCATGAATCTCCTCAACTCTCTTGCAAATGTCAATTTGCATCAGTTTGCTTCTCTGGGCGTAGCGTCCCTTTGCTTTTTTGCCATCGCCTTCGGAAATGTCAATTCGAGCGTAGCACTCTCACAGAACCAACATCAATGTCGTTGTTCACCCAACATCAGTATATCAGGTGATGCCGCCTCATACTCTTAGAGGTGCCATAGTAGTACTTTAGATGGAGAACTTCAGCTGTCCCCCTCAAGACCTGATTCAAGTATGGCTGGTTTAGGTAAACATCCACACATACCGGGAACCAGCCATCTGGGCCAAGGGGGTTACAGTGCCATCGAGTTCAAGACAGACATTCCCAAACTATTGGCATTCCCAAAGATTCCCAACAAGTTTGATTGTCAAGGTCATTCTTGCCATGTTTACGTGGGCCTCCCGTCCCAACAAGTAAGCTACTATTTGTTGCCCTGCGCTGAGTTGCGCAGTTGCTAACTCTATCGGAACCTCTCCAACTCACCAGCTAGCTTATCACAAATCCCCATAAGGGGATACGACACACATGCTCATACTGGAAGATTTCCTCGCCGTTTGGAGATCTAAAACTGAGGTTGGTCTTCTATCTTTGC